CTGATTAGAAAATTTAGCACAATGCTTACAAGTATCCGCTCTGTGTGACTCGCCTAAGCAGAACAAACAAAGTTCATGGCCATCTGGAGGGGCCAATTTACTTCCACACTTCTTACAGCGGTTGAAAAAGCCCCACTTCTGACTCCTCTTCGTTTTCTTTTCCATACGGTCCCTCAGAAAAACAAAAGTTCTCGCTTTTCTTCTTTCTTCTTCTTCTTCTTTTTTTTTTTGTAAACTGAAGTAAAGAAATAAAATAAAGGATGATCCTAAGAAACAAGAAATAAGGTAAAGGCCCGAAGGCAGTAATAGCTATCCGGTCAGGAGGAAAGGCAAAAAGGTCCTTTCAACGCGGCGGTAGAGAGAGAACTGGCGGGATCTCCGCGCCCGTCCCCTCTGGGCATGCGTGCTGGGGTTCCTGCGCATGCTCAGTGGGACTCGCGCGAAAATCCTTTGAAACATAGCTTGCTACGGCACCGGTTGGGTCAGCGCAGGCGCACTAAACCCATTGGTGTGAAGCACAGAGACCACGAAGAAGATCTGTAGGTAGGAGGGGAGGGTTAAACGCTCTCTGCCCTCATGCTGTGGTCCCAATCTGAATCAGGCCCCTGCGTATGTGACAATTAGGTTTTCAAAACTGCTGGGACCACTGGACACAGAACTCCCACTGCACATCTGATCTGGCCCTCCATCACAGAATAAGCAAAGAAGAGTGGGAGAGAGTGGGAGAATTCAAAGCACTATCTCAGTCATCGTTACAAAAGCCTTGCCAGGAAGGCCTGTATGATCACTCCCATATTGCCGATATGGAGACACCCAGAGACTGCAGCTTGTCACACTCCACCTAGCAAGAGTGAGCAAACCAGAACAGTACTCTAAGACAGGGCTTTTTTGTAGAACTCACTAGCAGGAACTCATTAGCATAATAGGCCACACCCAAGAGGGGAAAACCATTTGCATATTAGGCCACACCTCTGACAGCACGGCTCATTAGCATATTAGGCCACACAGCCCTCGTTACCAGAGGTGTGGTCATTCAGCCACACCCACCTTTTGCTTCTTATTCTGTTTACTTTGTTTATTGTCAAAACCCAGGGCTTTCTTTGTAGCAGGAACTTCTTTGCATGTTAGGCCACACACCCCTAATGTAGCCAATCCTAATGAATTTCTGCTGTTGGGTGTGGCCTGTTATGCTAATTAGTTCCTGCTGGGCGTGGCCAACTCAGGAGCCGTCCGGAACTCCATTCCTGTGCGTTCCTGCCCAAAAATAGCCCTGCTTTAAGAGCCACGCAGACAGAGCGCTGCCTTCTGACTGGAGAGACCTCACTTCAGATCCCTGTTCATCTACAATAGCCTTGGCTAAATCACAGTCTCTTTGCCTAACTTTCTTTATAGGAGCTATTGTAAGGGTAAAATGGGATAATCCCTAAGCGCATTGATTACTCACTGATTTCTGCCACCCACTCCAGAGCCAACCCAGCTCTTTCCCCCACGCTGCTCTCCGAAAAACACCCCCTTGCCGAGCTTCCACCTTACCTATTTGTAACCAGTCCATTTTCTCCCGCCATTTGTCACTGATCTCCCTGCGTCGGTCCTGAAGCTGGGTCAACTTCTCTGTAATCTGAGCAACAAAGAGGAAGGAACCGGCCGGGGGGGGTGGGGGGGGGAGAAGATGACAAAATAACCTGGTCACAAAAGCTCATTTGTGGAGAGGAGACAGTACCCAGACACTGAAAAGCCCCTCATGATGGGTCTACACACAGTTCAAATGGCAAAGTGAACATTTTAAAAGCTTATCCGTCAGGGGTACCCAATTATCAGGAATACTTTCAAATCCAGTTTGTTGGGGAGGAGGTTTAGAGCCCCACCACTACTCCCCCTATGCAATAATACTGATGTTTTTTGTTCTTGTTCAGTCGCACAGTCGAGTCTGACTCTTCGCGACCCCATGGACCACATCACGCCAATGATGTACATTATCCCATTTCTTCTGAACCTCCCAATCATGTATCATGGCTGTTAGAAACAAGTACTGAGTTTCCTGACATCATCCCCCTTCAGCTACCAGTATTCTTGATTAGGAAAGCATTCTTTCCTTTAACAACACTCTTCTTTCCAGTCCAGATAATTCCAAACTTCATTCAAGCCCTCCTGGAACACTTTCCAGACCCTAGGGACTTCTGACGATGATGGCCACTCATATCACACCCCTTATTCTTTTACTTCAGTAATATAGAAAGCAAGTAACATTTACAATTACAAGAAACAATGAGAGGAAGCAACTTCCCAACTTTTAACACTGGTGTGAAGGAAGATGCGGTTTATCTATGACCGCAGCACAAGCAAGAGAGAAGCCACACTGTGGCCACATTTCTCTTTTCTATATACAGCTATCAGAGTCCTGGCTATTGCTCAGGTTATTCAAAGAGCTTCTCTCCTGTAATTTAAAGCCACAACGGCAAGCTTCTTATCTGTCCATTTTAAGCCATTCTGTTATTTTATTGTCACTGGGGAGGGGAATAGGCTACCTAAAACTAAAACTATAAATGCGCATAATTTTAAATCAGTTTCCCCCATGCAAAAGAGTTAACAGTGCTATTAATTCGGAGGGGCCTTCTCACCTTGTCAGAGGCATAGTGGCCCTTGGCTAGCAACTCGTTGCCCATGGAAATGCAGGCGTTGAAGCTGTCAGTCCGGGCCTCAACCTCAGCCTTGATCCCTTGGTGGTTCTTGATGACCAAGTCAGCAGCTGACACATCCCTGCGAGAAGCAAAGCAATACCAGGAGAAGCTGGCAGGCCACCAGGGTGGCATGCGATTATCAAAAAGGCAGCCGAGTCCCTTTTAAGCAGAGGACAGGGAGAATGGGGAGGCCACTTCTCCAAGCACGCTTCCAGAGATTTAGGCACCCGAGGGTCCAGTCCGGCCTCACTACACACTGACATCCAAGGAGGGCTGGTACGGGGCTGCAGCAGTTTACCAGAGCTTTGCTCACGTGTCCCCTTACCTGGGCTTCTCCTGAGCATCTATCTGGAGATTGACTCCATCCATCCAGAGCAGCAGGTCACGGACCATGCGGAAGAAACGGAACTTGTCGACGGTGTCGAGGAGGAGTTGCCGGCGGCCGTTGCTGCTACTGAGCAGGTCAGCCCAAGCCTCGCTCACGGACTGCTCGTGTCTTCGGATATCGTCTGCTTTCTCGCCCGCGTAGGCCTTCTGCAACCGTGCCGCATCGTCCTGCACCTGCTTCACCTGCCAGCCAAACAAACCACAAGGGTCAGGGTCTTTCAGCATAAAGAGCCATTCTGGAAGCGTCCAGCTTAGAGGAGCGCTTTTCATTGTTCAGGAGAAAAACAGAGGAGGAGAGACCAATGTTGTAAGCCACCTTGGACCCCACTGAAGAGGAAAGCGGGGTATAAACAAGCAATTTTTAAAAAAGTATTATAACCAGATGAAAAAGAAAAGGTTAAATGAGACTGATTGTGCCTTCTAATAATGAGTAGTGCCTTTTTTTACTACATCGAACAGATTGTCTTCATGTGAGCTTCAACAGTAGTTTTGTGTTTGTAATCTATATATGTATCCCAGATCAAACTTGTGAAAAGACATTTGCATGGTCACCTGTGGTGATTAATAACTATCTCTAGATGCAGTAGAAAAGAGCAAGAGTCCCAGTAGCACCTTAAAGACTAACAAAATATGTGGCAGGGGATGAGCTTTCGTGAGTCATTGCTCACTTTGAAGACAGCTCATACCCCCTGCCCCGTATTTTGTTAGTCTTTTAGGTGCTACTGGGACTCTTGCTCTTTTCTACTGCTACAGACAGACTAAAACGGCTACCCATCTTGATCTATCTCTAGATGACCACCCAGGGAACCTTTGTAAAAGGAAGGGCCTCGTGAACCCCTGATGGTTCTATCTGCAATCCCTAAGTCTTTGGCTCCCCGTTCTGGAGCTCATCTAACCTGCCTCTGAATTCCTACCAGACTAAATTCTTCTCCTCCCCATCAGGAGGTATACCTGAGTGCTGAGCGCCTGGATGTCATGCTCGTAAGCGCTGTGCATCCGCTGCATGGCCTCAGCAGTGTTAAGGTCACGCCCCACCTCATCAGGAAGCTGCTTCTGTTTGTTCTGGACCTGGCTTAGGGTCTCCCGAGCATCATGGTAGAATCGGTGTAGCTCGTAAGAAGCCGCCAGCATCTGGCTTCGGGTGTCGATGAGTTCAAGGAGGTCTGCCCAGGCCTCATTGAGGCTGTCCTTCCACTCAGCGATGGTGGCGTTTTCAGAGTGACCAGCAGAGATCATGTCGTCAGCCAGCCGGTTGACACCGTCCACCCGCTCCTGGCCAATAGTGCTGGTGTCACGTGAGAATTCCCGGAACTTGTCCCGGAGCATCTGAGGGCAAGACAGAGCAAGCTAAGTGTCATAAAGACCAGAGCACGAACAAACCATAGAGCCACCCCGAGGCATATGAAAGAATAGTCTGTTTGGCTGCCCCTAAGCAGGATATCGCTCAGTTCTGAGGCAGTGTGTGTGTGTAGAGTCCAGGGGAAAATGGAGAAAGGGTACAAGAATTCAGCTTCCTGAGATTTATTTATTTATTTCTTCAAACTTATACCCCACCCTCCCTGCAAGCGGGCTCAGGGCGGCTTCCAATAAAAACATAAATTACATTAAAATACCTAATATTCAACATGCCATAAAACATTATAGATACAAAGTGCAGGCGGCAGATTAAAATTCATCTCGATGGTAAATTGCAGAAATAAATTGCCACTGCCCTGATGTCCACAGATGTCTTCTGTCGTTAGTCCATATAGTTGTTGAAACCAAAGGCCATATTTAGATGTAACAATCTGCAGTGAAAGCCTGCAGTGGCATTAGCCTGCAACAGCGGCGGCCCCTACTTAAATGCCTGGCGGAAGAGCTCCGTCTTGCAGGCCCTGCGGACCTGTAAAAGGTCCCGCAGGGCCCTGATCTCCTCCAGGAGCTTGTTCCACCAGGTAGGGGCCACCACTGAGAAGGCTAACTTAGCCTCCCTCGGGCCAGGGAGGGTCAGCAGATCCTCAGCTTTCATTTGAAGTGGGGGGGGGGGAATATGTTCAGCAGATCCTCAGCTTTTTTTTGAAGTGGGGGGGGTGGAATACAAATACCAAGTTTCTAGCCCTTATTGATTTGAAAATCCACTTGGTCTGAACAATGCTGAAGTCTCAGATGCAGGTGGAAAGGAAGTCGAGCGAGCTTTCCAGTGGGCAAGGCCTTCACAGTTCTTTGACACTTCCCGTAACCGGTAAAACCAGAATAAATAAAACAAATAGTGCCCCAGCCCTAATGCAGGAGATGATCCAGAAGACCCACCGTGACGTGTTCGTAGTCCTGCCCAAGCTCATGGGAGGCCGCCACCACCTCCCGCTCCGAGATCCACTGCTCCAGGTCATCCACCTCCCGCTTCAGCTGGCACAGGCGGAGATGCTCCTGGAGCTTGGCACGGCGCTCCTCAGTCAGGTCCTTCAGGCTGGCATACAGCTTGTCCACTTGGCCCTGCCGGAGGTTGATCCGCTCACTGTCGGAAAGGGACGGATATCATTTATATAACCACTAGTGTCTACTGGTGTGCAAGGATGGCTCTCTGCTGTGCTGTGCTCATGCAACGCCCTACCTCACCTCTTTCCTTACTGCCCCTGATCTCAAAAAAGAGAGTTTCTGCCTGATGAAGGGAGGTTTGACTCTTGAACGCTTACACCCTGAAAAGCCTGCTGGACTCTAAGATGCGGCTAGATAGAAAGTTCCCAAATGACAAGCACCTTTGGCTTTTGAACCCCCCGATCCCGCTCAGGTGAACCACAGAACTCACAGACCGTGGCTACCCTGCCAGGCAGCTGCTCTGCAGGGTCACAGGCAGAGAAAGGTCCTTCCCAGCACTTGCTAACCAAGATCTTTTAGCTGGAGATTGACCCTGGGACCCTTCTGCCGTGAAGGTAACCAGCTGCCTGTGGGCCACTCACAAAGTCTCAGACTAATAAAAACATAAGAACGTAAGAGAAGCCAATGTTGGATCAGGCCAATGGCCCATCTAGTCCAACACTGTCACACAGTGGCCAAAAATACCAGGTGCCATCAGGAGGTCCAGCAGTGGGGCCAGGACACTAGAAGTCCTGCCACTGTTGCCCCCCCAAGCACCAAGAATACAGCGCATCACTTGCCCCAGACCAAGAGCTCCTATCTATACCTTGTGGCTAATAGCCACTGATGGACCTCTGCTCTGTATGTTTATCCAATTCCCTCTTGAAGCCGTCCATGCTTGTAGCTGCCACCACCTCCTGTGACAGTGAATTCCATCTGTTAATCACTCTTTGGGTGAAGAAGTACTTCCTTTTATCCATTCTAACACGACTGCTCAGCAATTTCATTGAGTGCCCACGACTAATCTACCTCACAGAGCTGTTGTGAGGATAAAATGGGGAAGGAGGCTCAAGATATGCCCCCTTGAGCTCCTTGGAGGGAGGAGGGGATAAAAATATACTGGGATCAGGCAGGGCTGAGGAGTCTCCCTTGGACGTCAACCGGACCTAACCCCACTGGGTTGATAACTGTGGGGCTCTAGCAGCATCACATCTGGTGATATGAAGCAAGGCAGGACTAAAGGCAGTGGCTGCCTTACCTTTCAGGGTGCCCCTTGTTTACCATGTCGCGACTCTGGATGGAGAGCTGGTGGATGGTCTGGGCATAGTCTTCCAAGGCCTGCTCCATCACCAGGTGTTTCTTCACCATGGCCTGGGCAATCAGCTCATCCTATTGGAGGGGAGACATCGTGGGAGAAGGGTTTTCCCTTCCCTCAGTTCAGAAAGCAGGGGTTAACGGAAGCACAATCACAGGAAGAGGGTAAGAAGGCTGGCAAGTGCAGCAGCCAAATCTGAGCCAGGGCTTAATCCCGGAATCGATTATGCCACATCAGGATTTGGTCCATACATGCAAAGAAGAGTTCAGCTGAGCACGTGCAGAGTGCCTTCCCCTGCTCATTGTTGCAGAACTACAGGTGGTCTCCCTGGCAGTGTTCCCTCTGAGCTGAGTTGGTGTGAGCTAGCTCACAGTTTTTTAGCCTCCAGCTCACAGATGTTTGCCTTAGCTCAGGAAGGAGGGCCACAAAGCAAACTAATTTGTGCAGCAACCAAATGGCTCACTCACAACTTTAATGCCAGGAGCTCACCAAATAGAATTTGTGCTCACAGGACTCCACAGCTTAGAGGGAACATTGCTCCCTGGCTCCCCCAACAGATCAGGAACTGCAAGGCAAGTCTCTGGATGCAGAGGATGACTTCTAGGCAAGTAATCCCCTCCCTGCAGAGAAGTGATTGCTGAAGACATTCCCAAGGGGGGGGGGGAGAAGCACACCTTCCTCTCCCATCCTGTTTTCAGTGCTCAGGACTGGAATGTATAAAACAATAAGGAAGAAAGGGTCTCTGAGCATGTGCAGAGGGTCCTATCCCTCACTGTCCCATCCGCTTCTATGCCCCTAGGGATCAGGAGAAGGAAGGGCTTCTGGGTGTGACTTGCAGGGAGGTACAAGCCCCAGCACCTCTCATTTTTAAAAACGCATGGCTCAGACACGCATCCCTTACCTTTGCTTTATCCTCTGATATCATGTGCAGCTCCTGTTCACCCATCCAGGCTTCTGCCTCGGCGGCATCAAAGTAGAACTGCTGGGCGATCTGCGCTTGCTCCAGGCGCGCACGCCGCAGGTCCACCTGGTTCTGCAGCTCCTGCCACATTTCCTGCAATGCCTCCACGCGGCCTTGCAGGTCCGCTTCCAGGCCACTGCACCCCAACCTCTGCCACCGCCCCACGATGTCGTTTATACGTGGCTGGTGACCCTGGATCTCCTTCTGCAGGGTCTGAAGGTGTCAAAAAGAGGAACAAAAGGAATAAATGCGCTGCTTGCATTGGGAAGAGATACCTAACACAACTCCCAGAATTTGCTGCTAAATCTCTCACAGTATATACCTTTATATACCCATTGTCAAGTTAAATGTTATTGCTTGTGAAAGAGAAACCACACACACACACACACACACAGAGCTTTGGCTGAGCTGTAGAGAGGTCATGGAATGTTCATGGTTAAGGGGAAGATGCTTGTAATGGAATTTTAGCAAACACTGCAACTTGTGAGAGAAAAGTATGATGTCACTTTGGCAAGAGGAGAGAGAACGGATGGACAGGTGGGTCAAGCAGAAAAAGCAGAAGACATTTAAAGGAAAGGAGAGCTAAGGGGAAAAGGAGTGAGGGCTAGGTGAAACAACTCATGTAGGCTCCATAAACCAGGAAGGATTATGTATAGTTGGTAAAAGAGGAACTCTGAGTCACTGAGAAAATGAGCCAGGAGGTGAAGGCATGGGGAAGAAAAAAGAACTGGTTCAGTAGAGGGCAGAGTTTTACATACAGAACTGAAACAATACTTCCTGTATGTGACTGACATATGGAAATCTGCCTGTTGTTAGTGAATAAGGTGTTATTAACTGGTGGTGGAAAGTGACATCAAGTCACAGCTGACTTATGATAACTCTGAAGGGTTCTCAAGGCAAGAGACGTGAATCAGAGGTGGTTTGCCATGGCCTGCATCAGCATAGCAACCCTGGACTTCTTTGGTGGTCTCCCATCCAAATACTGGCCAGGGCTGACCCCACTTAGCTTCCGAGATCTGCCGAGATCAGGCTAACCTGAGCGAGCCAGGTTAGGGGGTGTTACTAACTAGAGAGTGAGAAAAAAGTAACTGCTCTTTACGTGCAAAAGGCTCTTCATCTCTGGAAACGATGCAAGCGGTACACTTCCATAGCTGCAACTGTAGAAAACTCTGAAGGCCTAGAGACACGTAGTGGTCTTGCAGAAGTACAATGCTCATTTAGACTGGTAAGTAGCTACTTGCCTGGTCACCCATGGGGAATAAAAGTGGCCCCCAAATCACCAGGTAAATAAACGTTTGCAAACTGGAAAAGAATTGGTTCTTGAGATTTCTTTCTCTCTTTTTTTTTTTTGAGGCCACAAAGGACTACTGTGGTGGTAAAAAGGTAAAGGTAAAGGTTCCCTTGCTCGAAAGCCAGTCGAGTCCGACTCTAGGGTTGCGGTGCTCATCTCCGTTTCAAAGCCGAAGAGCCAGCGCTGTCCGAAGACGTTTCCGTGGTCATGTGGCCGGCATGACTAAACACATTCCCGTTACCTTCCCCACTGAAGTGGTACCTATTTATCTACAGTGATCCGTTCCACTAATGATAGCACCTTGCCTTGGTGAAAGGAGCCTCCCCCAGACACAGGAGGCTCTTCCACTGGAGGAAGACACTGCCGTAAGCAGAATGGATCAGTGCAATGTGTCTAAGTAACTTGCAGGAGCTTATTTGCAAAGCGCCGAGGATTAGTCTGTAGTCTTCTTGCATTACTGTTAAACAGCCTGATTACCCAAAGGTGTTTTCTTGTGGACCTAATCAGCTTCAAGACCTGGTTGCTATCCATTCCATCCTTTCCCCTTCCCCAAGCTCCTACAGATCCCACACCTGGCATGTCCTACCTGGTTCTTCTTAATCAGCAGCTGGACAGTGGGAAGATCTTTGCCGTGGTCGGTAGAAACTGCCATGGGCATCCTTTCTTTCACCCACAACTGCAGAGAGGAGGGAATAAGGCAGCTGAGAAATGCCAGGTGTCTCTTTCTGTAGGGGGCCCTTTGGCATCTCAGTTCTCCGCTATCCACATTTTCCCCCCCCAAACAAGGAGAAAGTTCCCCACCAGAAAGATCACTGTCAGAAAAGTAAAGCAAGGCTACCCTGGAATTCTCTGTTCTGCTTTATGTAGTAGAGGAAGCAGCCTCTCTGGGAAGGAGGAGAGTGGGCCCTAATCCACTGCTCTGATTATAGGGGAAAAGAAAGGGTCCATTAATGAAATTCGCATGCCCCATCTCTCCCTGCCCCCGCCATGCGTGAGAGCTATGGAGACCAAAAACCTTGACACTCCACCCTGGTAGCTTTCAGGGGCAATCACAAAATGAAAGCGTGATGAAGCCTGGCTGATCTCTGAGCATTGCCCTGCATCCGCCAAGAAATGAGAATGGAGTAGGTACTCCCTAAGCCTCTTACCTTCTGAGCTCATGAGACTGCACGATTGTCACCATGTGGAGAACACGATAGTCCCTACATGAATCTGGAGCTAAGGCTTTTGTCAGGCACAGATTCATTTCTGGAAGACCTGCATGGGTGACTAATCCCCACTTAACATTTCTGTATCACGCTGCTCATGCTATTGCTTTTAAAAGGCCACTCAGCAGAACAACGGGAGGCGATCGCCGTCATGCATGACGAGAGTGGCACAGCAGTCCATTTTGCTTGGGACTCAGGGCCAGATCTACAGCCAGGGTTGTGGAGAAAAATGTCCTGTCCCCTTAACAGAACCTTAATTCTTGGAAACGGGTAGCTAAAGCTTTCCATGACACAGAAATAAATGACTTCCCCAGGACATATTTCTCCAGGCCAGCTGGCAACCCTACCTCTGCCCAGGCAACCAAGGCACTGGCAGCACTGCTGAGACCAGTGGGCTGGGAGAAAGCAACAGGCATGGCTTATGCTCATTGTCACCTCCCAGACCTGTCCAATCACCAGCTGAGCGAAAGGTGAATGTCTGAGATGCTGGCAGTGTGGCTGGCTTGCTCTGAGTGTGTCCGGCCTCCCCCCTCCCCTTTTGCTTGCTCGCATGCCAGCCTCTTCAAATGTAGATGTTGCCTTTTTCGAAGGTTGTCTATCCCTGCACTAGAAGCAGCCCTCTGTGCGAAGAAGAGTTTGTCTGCATTAAGGATTTGCTTGGCGGAAGCAAAATGCAACCTCTTCCCTCTTGTTCCTGCAGCCCTGCTCTGGGGCCCAGCCCTTCCCGCAACTCACGATTTCATCCTCCAGGTCCCGGTTGAACTGATGCTCTTCCTTCGAGGCCAGCAGCTTCTGGCAGCGCTCCTGCAGAGGTGCTCTCAGCTCTGTAAACCTGTTCTCCACTGCCTGGAGTTTGCCATCCACCTCCACGGTGTTGGAGTCCTCCTGACTTAGGGCTAACGCCTGAGATTTGAGGCCTTCCACCTCCTTCTCACGAACGTCCATCTGATTCTCCAGCATCTAGAACAAAAGAGAAAAAGGAGGATGGAGGGAATGCGGAAGCACAACAGGGCTTGCAGCTCCCCAAACTGCATCCAATAATCCAATCATGGAAAACAATGGGGTCTTATGTTCCCCCCCCACTGACCTCAACAACAGCAGCAATCTAAGAAGATGAAAAGCTCTGCAATTGTATATGAATTAGGATGCTTAGCTCCCTTCTTCCGAACTCAGGCATCAGTCCTGCCTTAACCCTTTCCACATTCCCTATCAAAATACCTTCAGTTGCAGTACTACAACTGCACGGGATTTTGGGGGAAAATCAGAGCAAGGTGGGGTTTTTGGGGGGGGAGGAATTAAAAACAAAACATGGTACTGGAAAATCCTGGTCATGACATGGCAGGCAGAGGTGAGCATGTCAGGTCTAGAAACATCAGCTCCAAGAAACCACAGAGGGAGTAGCTCCATCATTTGTGGGCTGGAGGCTTCCAGCATCTTATTTTGGGTGGCCAAAGAAAGCTACTTCCTACTGAATGTACTTGCACAGGCAACACCAAGCTCACAGTTCTTCCCCTCAAGGCAGCAGATAAAGACTGGAAAGACAGGCCTATGACCCTGGGGGACAAACAGATGATCCCGATGCTCAGATGGGACCATTCAAAGACCAGGGAGCAGGGTGGTGGGTGGGGTAGATCATAAACACCTCACTGCCCAGAAGGAATTCACTGCGGAGCAGGGGGGGGGGGCACCATGTGGCGCCCGCCAACATCTTTTCCTGGCACCTTCCAAGTGTTGTTAGAAAGTGGGCAAGGCCAGGCGGGGCTTGTGCCCAGCAGGGCTTCTGATTGGCTGTGCAGATCAAAAGGCATCCTGTTAAGAGAGCCTCTGCCTTAAATGCTGAGGACTTACTATGAGAGTTGTGCATAACCTCGCTCCCTGACTTTTTGTGCTTGGCTTCACCCTCTTCAGCAGCCATTTTATTGTTGTACCCACCACCCTGTTTCAGAATTCCAAAGATGCAACACAGGCTCAAAAAGGTTGGGGACCCCTGCTGTAGAGGCAGAAGACCCCTGGGGTCTGCCCCCCCCCCAAGTACACCATATGTGTCTGTAGGGAACTGCACATAACACAGACCATGTGCCAGAGAGGGAAGAAGAACAGGGAAAATGTTTGCCACCAAATAAGGTCAATAGAGACCGGCCTCTTTCCTGCGATTGACCGGGTTGCTCAGAGAACTAGGAAAGGACAACTCAGCCCCTCTCCTGGCAACCCACTGCAAGCGCAGGCAGATTATATGAGGAAGCGTGGAGAACCTGCCAGCCACATTAGAACTGATCCGTTCTAGCAGCTCCATACTAGCTACGTTCATTGCTAATGTAACTTCAGCTCTTCATTTGAAAGGTGTGCCAGGCGCCATACAAAACACAGAAAGCAGCAACGTCCACCAGTGCACTGGGGCTCACCTGCTGTTTCTTGAGCAAAATGTTCACGCTGGTCAGATCCTTGCCGTAGTCGTCCGAGTGTAGCTGGGACTGCAACCCACTCAGCCAGGCTTCCAGAGCAGAGCAGCTCTGCGTGAAGAGTTCGGCACGGTTGGCGTCGAAGAGGCACTGGGCCTTGGTCTGGGTGCTGTCCTCCAGCTCCTCCCAGAGCTGCTGCAAGTCATCCAGCTTGGCCCGCACCACAGGCTCCAGCTCTGGCTTCTCTGCCGTCAGCTGCTGACCTTCCTGTCAAACGGAGACACAAGAGGGAGCAATGAAGAGGCTGCACAGGAAGCTGCCTTATCCTTAGGCTTGCCAGGCGCCCACTTATGGCAAGCAAACCCCCGGCCATTTTGGCCACTGCCCACTGACCAGCTCAGCTGGTCAAGGGGCAGAAGCAGGCCAGCCAAATGGGAGGGCAGCCATTGTTGTCTCCAGGCAATAATGTCACTTCTGGTGTGACCTGAAAGCACCAGGGCGGCATTCTAGCACTCACCTGAAAGCACAGAGTGCTAGAGTGTCACCCCAGCATGATGTTCATGCTTCTAGGTTACACTGGAAGTGATACCATGGCATGGAGATGACAGTTGTGCCCCCCCTGCAGTAAGTACTCACCTCTCCCCATCTCCCACTGGTTCCCAGGCCACACCCAGCAACCTGACTTACACTAGACCAGAGCAGTTGGTCTATCATGGTCAGAATTTTCTGCTTGGACTCTTAGCAGCTCTACCAGATCTCAGGATCTTTCACATCACCTGTTACCTGATCCTTTTAACTGGGGATGCTGGGGGATTGAACCTAGGACCTTCTACATGCAAAGCAGACACTCTGTTACTGAGCCATGGCCCTTTCCTCAGGACTATGTTCCATATCCTACTACGAAAAGGGGAAGGGGAGGGATGCAATTGAGGGAGGCGTCCCCCTGTAAGAGGCAAACCTGATCTGGTTTCCCAGTGTCTTGGGAGGGAGGCACAAGAAGACCAAATCAAACCAGGGTTCAGTCCTAGAACTGGTGCTTGTGAAGCTGCCTCCTGCTCTCAGGTGCTGCTGCCTAGTGTTGGCAACAGACCGGGGGTGAAATGTCCTGCCCCTTTAATAGAGGCTTAATGGGCAGTTACAGCTTTTCATGTCATCGACAAATAACATCACCAAGTAAATAACGTTCCATTAAAAGGGACAGGACATTATTCTCAAAGTCTGTTGGCAACACTACTGCTGCCACCTCTGCCTGGGAATAGAGGGTGGAAAGAGAGTATAAAGTTGGTAAGAACTTTAAGTTCTGGGATTAACTGAAAACTCAAAAGTCAACAGACCTGAATGGCATGTACCCAGAGATTCTTTAAAAATTCATATTGTGCTCTTGAAGATCATCTAACAACAAATATGCAGCTTGTCACTAAAGCAGCCCCCCTACTAGGGGACTGACTTTACACTGGCTACTTTCCAATTTTTAAAAAGAGATCCAGGCCAGTGAACCGAATGTCTGTTCTGGATAAATGTGTTGTCTCCTGTCATTAAAGACACACTTCGCAATGAGCCCAAACTGAGGAAGACTCAGCACAACCTCCGTAAAGAACAGCTGCTGCCTTCATTCCTTGTCACTTCCCAGAGGCACTTGACTGGCCACTGTAAAAACAGGATGCTGGACTAACTGGGCCACTGGCCTCATCCCACAGGGCTTTTCTTGTATACCTTTGTAAGGATTACCGTTGCAGAGCATGCAAGACGCTTCGAGCTGTTTTCCTAATTGTTATCATTATTTCTAACCACGCAGTTCGATGAAGAATTCTGGAGAACTCATAAACTTGCACACTCATTTGTGTTATTTTGTTGGTCTTAATAAAAGGTATTATGTAGCTGTTGTTTCTTCAGTTTAGCCCTATTGTTTTAAGCAATAATGACAAAGGGAATTCCTCTGCTCATGTGCCATGAGCCTTTGTCTTCCCACGGAAGAATCCACAGCTGTAGCTGTTATCCCTGTGCACCACAGATGGATGGGAGGGCTTTCAAGCTGCAAAGCAGGCTAGAGCCCCAGTACGACTTTTTTTTGAGGGGGGGGGGCTGAGAATGAAAAGAGGGCTCATATGAGCATGTGCAAAGAGCCTTTCCGGGTAGCCATATCTGGCATTAGTGAACAGGGTTCCCCTGGCTGAGCAGATGTAACTGCAGGAAGGTTTAAGCTCTGAAGTAGGCTTTGCTGTTTTAAACAAAAAGGGCAGGAATCCCTCCTCCAGATGTGAGCCCCACCTTCTGGATCTTCTCCAGCCAGCCTTTGTTAGACGCCAGCTCTGCCATGAAGGCTTGGTGTTTCTGCCACTTGGTGTGGAGGTTCCGGGCTTCGTCGTATGACATGTCCTGAGCAGAGAGCATCTTCTCATTGATCCACAGGGTGAGCTGGAGGAGAGACGAGAGGAGAGCGTTAAGGAGGGGGAGGATACCCAAGAGAGAGCCAGCACCAAGCCCTGGGGCACCAAACCCATGGCATTCACCTAAATGAGTCACAACTGTGGGCGTAATTTGGAGAATGCATCCCTTGCACAGTTAAAAACATGAGAGAAAACATGATCAGTCACATTCCCCCTTGCTGGGAACCCATGCTCACTCCGAGTTCACAGCTTTTACATGAGGGGGGAAAGCTGCCGGCCACCAGTGGTCTTAAAACTTGTGTATTTATTTCATTTATACCCCACCTTTCTCCCCAGTGGGGATCTAAAGTGGCTTACGTTATTCTCCTCTCCTCCACTTTATCCTCACCACAACCTTGTGAAGTACTTTAGGCCGAATGTGTGTGACTGCCCCAGCAAGCTTCCATGACAAAGTAGGGATCTGAACCTGGGTCTCCCAGGTTTCAGGTTCCTAGGCCCAACACTCCACACACGACACTGTTGTTTGGACTATTTTATAAAACCTGATCTGTACTAATTCCAGGCAAGTCCCTTTGCTGTTTCTCCAAGAACTACCCAGCAAAGATTTGGGAAAGAGGGTCATCCCTCTTTCTGACAGGAAGAAGAACTTCCTGACAGGTAGAGCGATTCCTCAGTGGAACAGGCTTCCTCGGGAGATGGTGGGCTCTCCTTCCTTGGAGGTTTTTAAAGAGAGGCTAGATGGCCATCTGACAGCACTGCTAATTCGGTGAACGTAGGCAGATCATGAGATAGAGGACAGCAAGGGATGCATCAATGCTTAGTTCTCATGGCCCTTTCTTACATGCCCAGGGAAAGGCTGATCGCTACTTTAGGGTCAGGAAGGAATTCTTCTCCAGGCCAGTTTGGCCAGGAATCCTGGAGGTGGGGGGGAGAGGTATTTGTGAATGTCCTGCATTGTGCAGGGGGTTGGACTAGATGACCCTGGAGGTCCCTTCCAACTCTATGATTCTATCGCTTTGGTTCCACTTACTGAAGTGCTTTCATCCCCACAGGACCCACCCAATTTTGTCAAACAACGTGGCCCCACCTACCTCTTGGCAGTCTTGCAGAAAGTGTTGCAATTCCCGATTGTCACGGAGTCTGGCAAGCAGGTCTTGGGCTGCTTCCTGATTTTTCCTATGCCTGTAAGAAGAAAAGTTAGGGGCATTCACAATGAGTTTAACAGAAATGTTCCTGAGTAGGAAAACAATTCTCAAGAGGAAAGGACTGTGCCAGGACCAAGGTTCTCCCCAACTCAGGTCACTAAAGATAACGCTGGATCAGATCAACAGAGCAATCCTACGCAGAGTTATTCCAGCCTAACCCCACTGGACTGGAGTTAACTCTGCATAGGCAGAGGTCATTTCGGGGGGGGGGATCGCGGGGGATCGCAGTTCCCCCGGGTGAAGTACGGGGGGCGGAGCACATGACGAAGCCCCGCCCCCTGCTTCCGGCCACCTCGCTTCCGGCCCTCATTCAGCCAGGAGGAGGCAGGAGAAGAGGGAGGGTAAGTTGCTTCCTCCCTCCCTCTCCCCACCCCTGCCTGCCTGGGGCCAGGGAGGGCCTTTGCGGGGCTTCCTTGCACTCCCGCCGGCCTTGCAGGTCCACTGCGGGCCCCTCATGGGGCTCGGCAGTGGAGCTGCAAGGCCGGCGGTGGCGGCCGGGACCGTTGGGGGCGGGGTGTGTGGCCTTATGACACACTTCCGGTGATGTCAGGGGGTGTGGCAGATACTAATGAGTTATGCTAATGAGTTCCCCTAGCTCTTTTTCTACGAAACCCCTGTGCATAGGGGTGTACTGCAAACTACTTCAAAATAGGTCCACCTGCAATTTAACTGAGTTAACATCAAATAAGTCAACCAATAACATCCTTGTAGCTTGAACATGGTGCCTCGTGGTAGTTGGGAAGGATGCATTAGGAAACAGAAAACGCAAAAATATAGAAGTCTCATACCCAGTGTTCCCTCTAAGCTGAGTTAGTGTGAGCTAAGCTCACAGTTTTTTAGCCTCCGGCTCACACATTTTTGTCTTCGCTCAGAAAGGATGGCCCCAGAGCAAACTGATCTATGCAGTAGCCAAATCGCTTGCTCGCAACTTTAATGCCAGTAGCTCACAAGGTAGAAAGTTTGCTCACAAGACTCCACAGCTTAGAAGGGAGCATTGCTCCTAACATGTTTGAAAGTATTCCATTACTAATGCAATGGGGCAAAATGAAGCTTTCTTTCTTTACTTGGCCTTCCTCACTGTGTGTTTTAAACTGCTAGATCCCACTCAGGGCTAGCGTCAGCATACCCTGATGTGGGGCAGCTGGCAGGGCCCAGGGCTTCTGGTAGGGCTCACTGCCACTAAAATGCTGCCCATGTGCCTCCTCTGCCACTGCCTGTGTGCCCTTCTGTCATGATCCTAGGCCTATAGTAGTGTGGCCTTCAGGCTCTAGGGAGGCCTAATGGCTCCAGGGAAGCCTGTACTAGAGTAGCTATCAGGGCCTACATTTCCCAGGCCTCCTTTAGACCCTGTGACTGGTTAACAGGGCATTCGGAGGGAAAACGTATACCAGTAGAGGAGTAGAGGGTGATGTCTGGGAAGAAAAGATAAAATGCCTTGCCCAAAGTGGGAGGGGGTTCACTCCTAGGGAGCAGAGCTGGGAAAAGGCTGCTGCAGACGGAGGGATCCCTCATCCAGGAAGCAGTGAGTCAGCTTGAAGCCAGTCACCAAGAGACAGCTAGGAACAGTCAAGATAGACACCTTAGGGCTGGGGTGTCGAACTCATTTGTTATGAGGGCCAGATCTGACATAAATGAGACCTTGACACAAAAACAAAGAGCACAAACACAAAGGGTTTTTTTCTACTTAAAATAAAAAACATGCTTAAAACATTAGCACTCTTGCAATATTTTGTTTATTTAACAGTGTCTGATAACTGACACCTCTTGCTCTGAATTACTGCATCAAAATGTCTGTGCTGTTGCAACCTTGACTCTGCTGTTCAGGTGTGTATCTGTAAGCTGCAAACCTACGATGACGCAGCAGCAGCAGAACTGGAAGAAGAAGCAGAAGACAGCCAGTTCCACCGCGGGTCTGATAGCAGCCCTCCAGGGGCCTGATCCGGCCCCCGGGCCGCTTGTTTGACACCCCTGCTTTGGGGTGTTTTATTTTGTTTGCTTACCTATCTTTACTGTTCTCAATATTTTACACATTATTTAAATTGCAATGTTGTTATACCTCTTTAATAAAATTGTTAATTATTCTGCCTTAGGGATGCCAGCCGCCAGGTAGGACCTGGGGATCACCCGGTATTACAGCTCATCTCCAGACTACAGAGATCAGTTCCCCTGAAGAAAAGGGATGCTTTGGAGGATGGATTGTGTGGCATTGTACCCTACTGAGGTCCCTGTCCTCCCCAGGCTCCACCCCCAAATCTCCAGGAGTTTCCCAAGCCTACTGACCCCCATCTTCCACCAGTGGCCAGGGGGGACCTGGGAGCCCTATTCTGCCTGTCGGCTCATTCAGCCACGTACAAGGAGGAACCTACTGGAAAAGGAGTGCGTAAAGGGGTAGGGGGGGGGGGCTCTGGGCCCTCCCAAGGAGACCCTGTATCAGAGTGGTGGCAGGGCAGCCTAGGGAGAGCTTCCCTAGTCACTGCCTCCGACACCTTCCCCTTGTCTTTTTTTTTGACACTCCGCCACCCCTGTTCCCTGACACATGCACCACACAGCATCATTGGGGAAGAACCTATAGGTGGTGTGGAGTTTCTGGCAGCGACAGCCGTGGCTCAGCCCAGGCCCATACTGCCTGGTGCCTTTGGACAAAGGGCATGTGGGAGGGTTCGTGGGCAGACGGAAAACACTCAGGCAGATGGGTGGGCAGGAAAGAAGGTGCCAGTGAGAGCCTGGAGTTGGGCAGAAAGCCTCTGTGCACTCTTTGCCCACAGCCCTCCAAACCTGGAACTGGCTCTGATCCCACTGTTATCCAAGCCAGATTCTTTCCTGCACAGTGATCTCACTCATGCTATTAGCCACAAGGTATAGAAAGATAGGGACTCTGGGGCAAGTGATGCTCTGTCTTCTTGGTGCTGGGGGGGATCAACAGTGGGAGGGCTTCTAATGTCCTGGCCCCACTGGTGGACCTCCTGTTGGCACCTGGTATTTTTGGCCACTGTGTGACAGAGTGTTGGACTGGATGGGCCTTTGGCCTGATCCAACATTGGCGTCTCTTATGTTCTTATGTACCTGCTGTCGATGGAATTGACTTTCTCCTGGACCTTTTCAGCATGAAGGCTGTCCTCCATGATGAGCTTCCGTCCCGCGTCCACCAGCCCCTTTATTCTCTCGCCGTTGGCCTCCATGGTGGTCATGAAATCCTCGTGTTTTTTAATGGCAGCCTCGGCAGCTTGGAGAGAGCTTGGCATGCTTGTGTGAGTCAGCACGTATTCCTGAAAAGAATCCATGCTAATAAGGCATCAGAATATCCCCCAGGAAAGAAAAAGCATGTGCATGAAAAGGACTTGCATCAGACTCCTTTAATACATTCCGGCAATGAGATCCATAGAACACAGGGTCAGCACGTGACCGATTTATTTTATTCATGCCAGGAACTGTTCACTGGCTGATACGGTTTCTTGTAAGCTGTGCTGAAAGCCATTTAGCTGAGCAGAGGTTTAAAAAATAATAATAAATGAGTGAGAAACCTGTCAAATTTCTATGTGCCAGCCCAGCTACCAGGATGTTATCTTGGGGAGCTGGTATTACATTTTTAGATCCTTGGAATGAGATCTGTTCAGTGGTTGAACTGTTTTGCAGTTTTCTGTTAGCTTGCTGTTATATTTTTAGTAAATGTTACAGTTTTCATGCTATTTTAAGGATCTATATCAGATATGTAATTGGATTATATGGTTTTTTTGAGCCTCGGTGAAGACCAGACTGTGGAAAGATGGGTTGGAGATATTTTAAATGAATGAATGCCCCTGTGTCAAAAACTTTGTGTACTGTTTGTGGTTTCCAAGCCCCACCAATATATGAGTAGGCCCTAAAGCAAATGAACAGGAGCCGCAGTGCAAGATCCTGTTGGGGTTCTTAGCATCATTCTGCTTTACCTCTTACAGAGAGGGAAACACTAAGGTTTTTGTATTCCCAACTTTATGCATTTGTTTTGCTTGGCCTGCCCTCCTCCCTTACCTGGTTGCTGAGTACCCCTTCCACCTGCTTGGTGTCCCTCAAAAAGATCTGGAAAGCATAGGCTCGTGAGAGCAGCTGGTGCCGGTTCTCCCACATCTGACTGAGCTCATTCCAGCCGGTATCAAGAGCCTGAAGGCGCTGCTGCAGGAACATGTGCTGCGCATCCGTGTGGCCTTGCGTCACCTCCTCCCCGATGGCACGCAGACGCTGGTAATCATCCTTGTAGTGATCCACCTCATTGCGGATAGTTTCATGCTGGCTCAACAGATGCTCTGCCTCTGGTAGAGTAGCTGGGACATCTTCTGAGGCAATAGCTGTCTGAGTGCGCAAGAGCCACGCCTGGAAGTCGTCCAGGTCGCGCAAGAAAGCCTGCAGCTTGCTTGCCTCTCCCAGAGACTCCTCACGATGCCGCATGGTCTCCCGCAGCTCATCCCAGGTCCCATCGACCTCTGATAAGCGGTCCAAAATGGCCGTGGCCTGTTCTGGATGCTGGTCTGCCAGACGGGTTGCCTCTTCGCGCAGGTCCTGCACTTTGCCCTGGATGGCCTCCAGGTCCCGCTCCATGCCCGCCAGCTTACGCTGCAGTGCCATGACACCTGCGAGGTCATTGCCCAAGCCCTGGGTGGACTCAATCACCTTGGTTTTCTCCCGCATCCAAGCCTTGGTCTCATTGCACTCCAGGTAGTAGTTCTGGATGCTGAGTGCTGAGGTTAATGCTTCCTTCTTGCGGCTGGCCAGAGCTTGGAACTGCTGCCACCTAATGAGGAAGAAAGAGGTGAGAGCCACCTAGGGTTCCCAATTCCCCAGGTGGGTGTGGGAGAAACCCTGCTTTCATGGGCTCCTGCCCACTGGCAGCCAGCTGGCCAGCTGGAAGAAATTCCCTCTGATGCTGTGCGCGATGCGCTGGCATCACCCAGAAGTTATGTCAGCACATCGCTGATGTGGGGGGCGACACTGCTTTTTGGGCAAAACTCTACGGTTTGAGGTCGTTTTACCATAGAGTTTGCCCCAAAATCAAGAGTGTCACCCTGATGTCACTCATGAGCTGACATCACTTCCACAAGACATCAGTCCCCACCCCCGGAATGCTCCCCAAATCCCCCCACCGGCGCCATGAGGGGACATGGCAACTCTAGGACACCACTCTAGTGTTGCCAGGCAGTGCCAGGCAAGTAGTGGGGGGCGGGGCAGTGTCCTGGGAGAAAAATTAGAAAGAAAAATAAGGCCCTGGCTACTCACAGGAGGTTCTGACCACAGTGTTTTTGGTGATTGCTGGAGCTACCCTTGTCACTTCCTGGAAGCTCTAGGAATTGTCAAGAACTTTATGGCCAGAACTTCCTGTAAGTAGCTGAGGCTTTATTTTTCTTTCTAATTTTTCTCCCCAGGATGATCATGCACCCCACCTTTGCCCCAGTGTCTACCCAGTTTCTTTTTACCCAAGCTTTCAACTAACTAGCGCCATCTTTTTAAAGCTATTTTTAATAAGTCTGAATATTGTTTTACAGATATCCCTTTTAGGCTTATTTTCAATGGTTGGTTTTATGGCTGTCCTCGATGGATAGTTTTGATACTGTTTTATGATTTTATTTCATTCTGTGAACCAGGTTTCTACACAAATCGGGGGGGGGGTATAATATGAATTTTGCATACTTAGGGAAAACATTCACTTTCATTTGGGATCTTCAGAAAAAGAGATTGCTGCTTCCTCCACCCTGTCCCCAACCCTCCTTCCCGCAGGTCCTTACCTGGTATTGAGCTGCTCCTGAGTGCCTTGGATACTGTCCTTGTTTCGATGGTCAGTGCCCAAAAGACAGCTGGCAATCTCATTCACAGCTGCGATGCGTGAGGCAAGGTTATTCATCTCTGGCTCCAGCGTCTCAAACCTGAGATGGCAAAGACCCAATGAGAGGTCAGAGGGATGCTTTGTCAGCAATGTAGAAGAAATTTATCCCACCATTGCAAAGGCCTGCTCACTGGGCCACCACTATAGGGATTAAGATGGTGGATATTCAATATTCCCTTGCAGTTAGGAAGGAAATATAAAGAAGGCTTCCTTTTGGAAAAAAGAGTACTGTAGCCAACTTTTTCTGAGCAGCAAATATTGACTAGAGTGCCCTAGAGCCACGCTCATATATATGGGTTAGATTACTAAGAGCGTAAGAAAAGCCCAGCTGAATCAGACCCAGTGTTCCCTCTAAGCTGAGTTAGTGTGAGCCAGCTCACAGTTTTTTAGCCTCCAGCTCACAGTTTTTTAGCCTCCGGCTCACACATTTTTGTTTTAGCTCAGGAAGGATGGCTCCAGAGAAAACTAATTTATGCAGTAGCCAAATCACTCGCTCACAACTTTAATGCTAGTAGCTCACAAAGCAGAATTTTTGCTCACAAGACTCCACAGCTTAGAGGAAGCATTAGTGGTCCATCTAGTCCAGCATCCTGTCTCACGCAGCGGCCAACCATTTCCTCTGGATGGCCAACAGCAGGGCATAGAGGCAGAGGCCTTCCCCTGAGGCTGCTTCCTGGCACGGGGATTCAGAGGATTAGCGCCTCTGAATGTGGTGGTTCCCCTCAGCCACCATGGCTAGTAGTCACTGATAGACTTCTCCATGAATCTACCTAATCCCCTTTTAAAGTTGTTTATTCCTGTGGCCATTACAACATCCTCCGGCAGCGAATCCCACATTTTAATCACTCTCTGTGTAAAGTTGTATTTCCTTTTGCTTGCCATGCAATTATATGTGCTTACAATTTGTCTAGTCCAGAAGGCAACTGGTTGATCACTGACTGGGTCTCCTAGATAGCTAACATCACTAGGGATGGAAAGCATCTGGTGAGTTTCTAGGCCAGGTCAAGATACAGGCATCAACCTTTGAAGTCCTAACTGGCCTGAGTGTCTCATAATCCCACGCATGCACATGCATACACACACACACAGAGTCCCACACAAACGTCATCCAGTGGAGCCTTGTTCTAGAGCCCTCCACTACCAGAGTTTGACTGAGCTCTGCCAGGAGTGTGGTCTTCTCAATGGGGTCCATTCCCTTTGGAATGTGCTGTCTTCCTCTGATAGGTGCCCCAAGCTAGTACTATCAAATTGTTCGAAAAGCTGCATGAAAACTTTTTTAAGCCAAACAGAATGCAAGATTTGTAGGGGTGATTTGAACTACCCTCTTCTGCACCTTTTCCCAGCACTGTGATCTCCTTCTTAAGATGGAGCTATCAAAGCAGTACACAGAATCCCAAATGCCAACTGTGCCACAGATTTATAAAAGGGCACTATTGTGCTGCCTGTCTTATTCTCTATTACTTTCCTAATAATCCCTAGCTTAGAATTTGCCTTGTTCACCATCACTCACTATTGGCATGTTCAGAGGAAGAAGACTGAGCTAGAGAGACCATTCATGTCATCCAAAAGGGCAGTTCTTACAGGGCTCTTTTTGTAGCAGGAACTCCTTTGCATATTAGGCCACACACCCCTAATGTCGCTCTGTAAGCTCTTGGAGGATTGGCTGCATTAGGGGGGTGTCACCTCACATGCAAAAGAGTTTCTGCTACAAAAAGAGCCCTGGATAAACTAAATATATGGTATTGTACCCCTCTTAATGTGGGCAATGCCCTGAGCAAAAATGCTTCATTTGAAGGCCCACCACTTCCTCTACTTTGAGGTCAGAATGGCGATTTGACAGTTCCTAGGCCAAACCCCTCACCTTTGTTGAACCACTTCAAGGTCTTCCAGCTTCTCTGGGACATCCATTGTTTCGATCCAGTACTCCCTTTCACCAATCCAGAGCCCACAAGCGTCTGCTTCACTGAACATCTTGTAAAGATTGAGGGCATCCTGCAGGGCTTGCTTACGATGCTCAGCCAATGTGACCAGCTCCTCATAGCGTTGCTCCAGCGCAGGTAGGCGTCCGTCCACTTCAGGTGAATGGGCAAATGCAGGTGGTAGGCTTCGGGCCTGCTCATGCAGGGCATCCAGGGCTGGCCGATGGTTGTGAATTTCTTCCTCCACTTCCTTGTGCTTCTTCACCAGGCTCTGGGTTGAGTATTCATCATGGCCCACCTCCGAGCTGGACACCAGGCGTAGGGCATCCAGTAGCCAGGCCTCCATGTCATTGGCATCTGCCTGGAACTGGTAGAGGTTGGAGGCTTGTTGGAGGCGGCGCTCCCGTTCGCTGGACAGGGCCTCCAGCTGCTCCCACTGCTCTTCAATCTCCCGGATACGCTCAGCCACCTCTGCAGCCCCAAAGTGGCCTTCGGCAACCAGCTGGCGGCCTTCAGAGACTGTCTGCTGCAGCGGGCCAGCTCGGCCACTCATCTCGTCACGAAAGGCATTGTGCTTGCTGGTGAGGCGCAAGACGCTCGTCAAGTCCTTGCCAAAGTCATCCGACGAAAGGATCTGGCTCTGCTCCCGGATCCAGGCCTCCTCCTCACCCATGTCCCAGAAGAACTTCCAAAGACGTCGTGACTCCTCCAGTTTGGCACGCCGCTGCGCCGCCAGTGCCACCAGCTCCCGATAGCACCGTTCCAGCGTTACCACACGATCTTGAACTACATGGGGCTCACAGGCTTTGTATCCTGCAGGCAACAAAACCAGCATTATGGTCTCCCACACCACCAAACCTTTGTAAAATTCACAAGAGTGAGACAGAAGCTGCATCCTGGACAAAGCATCCTAGACCCCCTATCTGTATTACTTGACCCATGATCATGGTGACATAAAGACAGCCAAGGTGTTGATTATTTTACTCTCTGTATTCTCTCCAAGGGCTCAGTTAAAGCCATTGGACCAAACTTTGGTTCACACTAACGATAGTTAAGTATTCAACCCTCAAAAAGGAACAGGCAAATCAAGGTTTAGAGCTGCTTATTGGCTTTCTTCCCCTTTACTATCTCAGCACTTAGCCTGGTAAATTCACTCACATCTCTGAGGTGAAGCTGTCTCCGGAGACACAGCAAGAACCATAACTATGGTTTGTCAATTCAAACAACACACTAAATCCAATCCATTGTTTGGTATGACTTCCTAACCCCTCTAGAAGTGAAAGAAACGTCAACTTGCTGTGCTTTAAGGTGTCAGTAGATTTGTGCAGTTCTATCCCATGTCTAAATTCTAATCTGAGAACTTTCTGCTCAGCTCGCAGATAAAAGCATCTAAGAAGTCTATTAAGAAGATCTGTTTAACCAGGGTTGCTCAGAACTGGGGAACCAGGGTTTAGTAATAGGCCAAGCTGATTTCTCCACACCTACTACCCTTCTGCATATAACACCTACTCTAATCACGCCTGCTATTGTCATTCACCTGCTATCGTTGTTTGCCTGCTAATGTCATTTGGAATCTGAAATCACTCCACTTTCCAATATACGTTTAATAACTCGCATTCTAGCTGTATCCAAAGAAGTGAGCCGTGACTCACGAAAGCTCATCCCCTGCCACAAATTTTGTTAGTCTTTAAAGTGCTACTGGACTCTTGCTCTTTTCTCCTGGTTTAGCAATGTTTATGTTAACTTGCCAAAAAGCTCAATTTTCATCCAGTAGCTCAGGTTCTGCAACACTCATTCGAATAAAGAGCTTTGACTGACGTAGCAAAATAATTCCTCACGTGGAGCTCCTGAATTGAACTTTGTTCAAGGAAAGCTCAGGGAAGGGAAGGCAGACCCAAACAGGGGAGGAACAAAGGGCACTTCTGTCTGGGGTCTCTGACTGTGCTCTTTTCCAACCCTCCATTTTCAGGGTTAGGCTATTACCTTCTCCAGGAGCAGCAAACCGCTGGGCAGCAGCACTGATGGCTTTCACCCTCTCAGCCTGGACAGCGATGTCAGCCTCCACCAGAGCGTGGATCTGCAGCAGGTCCTCCACCCCAAGCAAATGCTTCCCAAAGTCCTGAGACTGAAGGCGGCCCTGCAAGGAAACCCAGGAGAGGATGAAGATCCCACCCAAACACAGCAGAAATGACAAAAAAGGGGATACTATAATGAGCCCCTTCTCCCTCTTGCCTGTCACTCACAAACCCAAGCTTGAACTCTCAGGCACCTTTGCCACATTACCAGACATCGACCCCTGGTGACCAGGTGGTGCAAGATTGACCCATCAGTGCTGGAGATCTGCTCGGCAGCTCCGCCTCTAGCAAATGCAGCTCTGCTCATGTCTCTGCATGGCACGGCAGCAAAGAGGAAGATCTTTACAACCCCCTAATTGCACACTCATGCACAGGCACTCCACTTCTCTGACCACCAAGAACAAACTTCCACGAGCATCTACTTGGTCAGAGGAGTTGCTGTGATGTGCTCGTGTGCGCGTTAAGTACCGTCAACTCGCTTCCGACTTACGACAACCCTATGAATTAATGACCTCCAAAACGTCCTCTCGTTAACAGGGTCAGGTCTTGCAAACCATGGGCTATGGCTGTGATACAGCCGCTGTGATGCTAAACTTCAACAGATGAGGCGAAGGGCTCAAAAGGAAATTGCACTGATTGGCTCTTAATTTTCACCATTCGGACTGTTGGTGCACTCCAGGGCATGGGGCAAACCAGCAGAGAGCCAGATAAGCCATTGGAGGGGAGGGAAGTGACATGCAGCTCCAGACCATGGGTGCTCACTCAAGAGTAAGCTGTCCTTCCCAGCAGATCGGCCAGCACTGAAGAATGTATGCAGACACACCCTCGGGTGAGAAGAGATAATGATCACTAGAGAATAATCTGCCCCAGAGTGGTAGCAGGCACAAGTGACAATCTCCACTGTTTTGAGGGGCTGTGACTCAGCGGTAGAGTCACAGGTTCAATCTTCAGATAAAAGGAAGCAAGCAGGAAGCAATTTGTAAGGTCTCTGCCTGAGACCCTGGAGAGCTGCTGCCAGTCAATGGAGACAATAGTGACCTTGATGGTATGACTCAGTATAAGGCATGTGCTCATCGGGCATTGTTCTGCAAATGCTCCAGGACAATGTCCTCCCAACTGTGCTACCCTGGTTTGAATCCGACCCCACTGCTCAGGTTTGCTTTGGTGGTTTCTGCCCTTTGGTACTGATGCAGTTCCACCCCCACACCAAGCACCATCCCCAAGGCTTCCTCCTCTTTCATTCACAGCACTAGACGCTGGCCCACTCACCTTCATCTCTTCCAACCAATCCATGAGATAGGCCAAGTCCTGGAACATCTTCTGCAGCTCAAAATGGAGCAGCAGGCGCTCACGGCGGGCAGCCACCAGCTCCCGCAGGTAATCCCAGAGCCTCGCCACATTGTTCTTGCGCATCAGCACCCGCTTGATATCGTGGTAGCCCTCTGCCTCCAACTCAGCTGCCACGGCGTTCACAGCCGACACGCGCTCGCTGTACGCCACAATGTCCGTCTCGATAGCTTCATGCTTCCGCACTGCTGCCTCCACTGCTGAAATGTCTGATCCAAAATTATCCTGGTATGGGGGAGAGATTGCAGAGAAAGAGGGTGAAGGAGATTATACCACACCAGTGGAGAACAGAGATGTTGCCTGGGAAACTGTGAAATTTTCAGGTTGAGGCCCCCGCTGGTGGATCTCCTGATGGCACCTGGGTTTTGGCCACTGTGTGACACAGAGTGTTGGACTAGATGGGCCATTGGCCTGATCCAACATGGAGGAGAATTATGTAAGCAGCTTTGGGTCCCTGTTGGAGAGAATTAAATAAATAAACAAACAAATAAATAAAATGTGTTTTATGGGGATGCACTTAAAGCCCTGAGTGGGAGGGGAGGGAAACAAAGTAACTTCAGGAGACAATCTGGAGTGGGTCAACAGCAGGGAGGTTATAAGCTCTCCCTTTCCTGTCACTTCTCGACTTCACCAAATGTCATTTCCCAGGGCATGTTATGTATAATGCATAGCTGGGCCTCAGCTAATGTATATGAAGCATTTCAGCACTTAGCATAAATAGATGAATGCTATGATTATGAGTAATGACTATGCAATTATGCAGAGGCCATCCTGTGTGTGTGTGTGTGTGGTTTTTTTTTTCTGGTCTCAGGAATGACATAAGAAACGCTTTGAGGAAATACACCATACTTTGAATATTATCACCAGGAAATGTGTGGCAACAGGATGATCCTGTCTCCCTCCAGAAACAGATACTAAGGAGTGGCACGGTTTTTGCATTCTGCGAACATTCCACCTTTAATAAAGGGTGCATCTGCCTTTATTAACAGAGGCATTAAGTGCTCTACCATGATTAAAGGGTGTCTTACATTTTTGTTTGTTCCTAGAATACTAGTGCAGCTCAGGCTACATTCTGGGGTGTGGGGAAGAAGTCGTTGGTTATTCTTCACTAAATGGAGAATCGCTTATTCCACCCCCAGGCTTGACATGGTCAGCTGGGGTCGCAACTCCCGATTAATTTCTTCTGTGGCTTGGTTGGCAGGTGTAAACTTGCACACAAGGAAAGAGCAACAATGGAATGTTTGAACTGGGGTGGGGGGGAGGAAGGAGGGGAGAGGGGCAAAGGGTAATACCTGTTCCTCCTCCTCCTCCTCCCAGAAGAGAACAAAGTGGAGCAAGCATCGCTTCCACCCTCCCACCCACCCAGCTTGCCTTTAGGTGCTCTTTGTCCTTTCCAAAACCAGGCATC